TCTGAACTCGCGAATTAAAAAAACAGACGTGACATAGTCATCTTCTCAGCCGATAAAGGCAACGCTACTGTATTTGTATTGTTTTATATATATTTTATTATTTTATTGTTTCCCTTCAACGTGACTTTACCGAAAGAACTAAGACTAACGCTACTGTAATTATGGATAAAGATTCATACAACTACAAAATCCAGAATCTGCTCAACGATGGAAGTTACTCAAAAATTAAAAATGACCCTACTAAAAGTTCGACCTCCCTAATCGACCCACCTAAACGTCCCTCCCTAAAACCTTCTGCTGCAAGACCCCCTAGATTCTATGGTCTTCCCAAGATTCATAAAGAGGGCACCCTACTACGACCCATCGTATCTACGATCAACTCCCCTACCTATAGACTAGCCCATTTTCTGTCAGATACCTTACTGCCTTTCACTGGCAAGACCGCCTCATCAGTACTTAACTCAGCCCAATTGGTCTCTATGGTCAAAGACGTTGTACTGTCCCCTGAGGTTATCCTTGTCAGCTTCGATGTAGTCTTTTTGTTCACCAAGGTCCCAGTACCTGATACCATTGAAATAACTGAAAATTTGGTCCAACATGGACTAGACCCCGATACACCTGCACTGGTTAGGCACTGCCTCAACAATACCTACTTTACTTGGAATGGCTCCTTCTACAAACAAAATGAGGGTACCCCCATGGGATCCCCCTTGTCACCTTTGATAGCCAATATTTTCATGGAGAAATTTGAATCAGACGCCATCCAGACTTCCACCCTCAGACCTTCCTTGTGGAAGAGATATGTAGACGACACTTTCGTCAGTTGGCCACATGGCCTCCCGGCTTTGAACCTTTTCCTAGACCACATTAATTCCAGACACCCCGCCATCAAATTCACCATGGAAGTGGAGAAAGATGGCAAGCTGCCATTCTTGAATGTTCTGTTTGAGAGGAGACCTGATGGCTCATTGGGACATTGTCTACAGGAAACCCACCCACACAGATTCCTACTTGAAACCTGATTCCCACCACCACCCAACACAAAATAATTATCTCATCAAAACGTTATACCACAGGGCTCATTGCATTTCGGACCAACACCACCTGACCAGTGAATTAAAACATGTACACCTGACCCTCAAAAGGAATGGTTACTCTGACTGTACCATCCGCCAAGCTGTTTCTCCCTCCATACAGAAACAACCACTTGATACTCCGATCAAAACTATCACACTGCCATATATAGCAGGCGTTACTAAAAAGATCTCCAAAATTCTAAACAAACACAAGATCCTGGTCCGGTTCAATACAGTACACAAAATCCGTGACCTGATCCCTTCCGTAAAGGATGTCATTCCTGACTTACAGTACCCCGGAGTTTACAGATTGATCTGTACCTGTGGTGAGTGCTATATCGGGGACACGAAACGACATGTCTCTGACCGAATTCGCGAGCACAAATCAGATTTGAAACACGGCAGAACGAATTCTTCTGCCGTAGCTGATCACTGTTACAACGCTGTGGGTGATCACGATATAATTTTCTCCGATATCAAGGTTCTTTGTAAACCCACGGGTTTTTATCAGAGATTTGTTCACGAGGCAATTCAGATTTACAAACACAGACACAATTTCAACCGAGAAGATGGTTTCAAATTAAGCAACCATTGGAAAGATGTTCTAAATCGAACCAAACATTAAACTAATTTTCAATGGTACAGTATATTTTTTCAAGTAGTGGTATCCCAAACCTTCACAGCTGCTTAAATTCCCTTTTCACACCATCAATATGTAAACTCCCCCTCCCCCCCTCGCTGGTCTGCACATGTTCACCCCCTCTACACCGTTCATCATGCTAAGTCCGCCAATTAAATGCAAATTTTTATGCTTATTCCTTTGTCAAGGCACCTTAATTCCTCTCGCACAAGCTTAAAGGTCGCGGTCTGAGCTTGGCTGTGTTCACTCCAGCGCTGTCCTCGAGACAGTTTGGACCCTTCACCTGATGAAGGCCACTTGTGTTGTGGCCGAAACGTCGTGAATGTTTTATTTTTATTTTTTGTTGTTTTATACTTTTATGTGACTTCACCGAATAGAACCAAAGAGTATGTGAATGACACTTTCGTCATTTAGCCACATGGCCTGCCAGCATTGAACCAATTTCTCAACCACATTAACTCCATACACCCATTTATCAAATTCACCATGGAAGTGGAGTCACGAAAACTTCAGATCTAGATTGGTGCGCATCTGCTCATAGTTACAGGTAGGTTACGTTCATTTTGTATTCATTCACTTTCATTTATTTGCCACTTTTGCTCGCAGCAAATGTTTTCACCAAAATGTCGGAACACCCTTGTGGTCGCTCCTAATTACTTACTTATTATACACATGTGCATTTCCCCTCTCCCTTACTTCTTTTGCTAAAGTCACATATATAGAAAACGATTATTTACAAACTTATTTAGTCTATATAAAAGTTAGTGTGTACGTCCATGTGTGCGTGTGAGTCCATATATGTGTGTGCGTTGCATCTGTGCGAGTCCGTGTGTGTGTGCATCAATGTGTGTGTGAGTCAATGTATGTGTGTGACAGTCGCTGTGTTTGTGTACGTCCATGTGTGTGTGCAGTGTGTGTTTAAGTCGATGTGTGTGTTAGACGATCTGTGTGTGTGTGTCCATGTGTGTCAGTCAATGTGTGTGTACGTCGAAATGTGTGTCTGCGTGAGTCCATGTGCATTTGTAAGTCGACGTGTGTGTAAGTCGATGTGTTTGTGTGTGGGTCGATGTGTGTCAGTCGATGTGTGTGTGTGTGAGTCGATATGTGTGTGTGTGTGAGTCCATGTGTGTGTAAGTCGATATGTTTGTGTGTGTGGGTCGATGTGTGTGTGTGTGTAAGTCGATGTGTGTGTGTGTGAGTAGCTGTATGTCTGTGTGTGTGCTAGTCAATGTGTGTGTGTGTCCATGTATTTGTGTGTGTGTAAGTCGATGTATGTGTGTGTGTGCGTCCATATGAGTGTGTAAGTCGATGTGTGTGTGTGAGTCGCTGTGTGTGTGTGTCCGTCTACTACAGCAGAGGTGTAGTGAATTCCAACAAGACCTACATCTCTGCTTTATTGACCTGGGCAAGGCCTATGATACCATCAGCAGGCCTGGGTTCTGGGTTGTTCTTCGTGCTTTCGGAGTCACTGACCCTCTGCTCACGATCATTAAGGACCTTCATGATGGTGAGCGGGGCCAGGTAAAACTACGTGGTCGGGAGTCGGAGCCATTACCTGTTCACCTTGGGGTGTCACAGGGATATCCTCTGGCTCCCACATTATTTAACATTTATTTCGACCACGTAGTTCGTGAAGCCTTCAATAGCTGTACTGGAGGAATTTCCATCTGGTACAGATACAATGGGAGGCTGATCGATGCCCTGGTAAGGTCAAGGGATGGCTCCCTATTGCTCAACCATTTTACATATGCCGATGGTCTGGTAATTGCTGCTCACTCAGAGGAGGAGTTGGAGGCACTGCTGCTGAAACTGGAGCTTACCACTAAGAGGTGGGGCCTTACCATCAGCCCCACCAAAACTAAGCACTTGCCTGGGTACCATCGGACACTCCACCCCCACAAGTCCCATTTGGTGTTAGGGCAGTTGCGGAGAGAGTGGAGAGTTTCCCATACCTGGTAAGTGTGCTCATGACCAGCTCCGGTTTAACAGCAGAGGTCTCACTCCGAATCAGTTGAGCGGCATTATCTTTTCATCGGTTGCGTAACGCTGTGTGGAAGCTACCTGGTCTGTCACTCCACACGAAGCTTCAGGTCTTCTCGGCCACAGTCATTCCCTCCCTTCTCTACGCTTGCAAAACGTGGACGCCCCCTAATGGAACATCTTCGCCGGTTAGAAACATTTAGGCTGGCCTGCCTATGATCCATCCTGGGTTTAATCAGGCTGGATTGTGTGAGGAGCTCACAAATCCTTGAAAGATCTGGACAAAGTCCCATCGGTGAGCTCCTCCGGCAGGCAAGGCTACGTTGGCTGGGCCATGTAGCCCGCATGCCCAGCCACCGCATGCCTCTAAACAGCTTTTGTTCGGCTGGATCGAGGGGGCTAAATGGGCGCGGCACAGGTTAGAGAAGAGATGGAGTGATGTGGTACAGGAGGATGTGGAGCTGAGTGGACTTGCCGATGTCTGGTACCAGCAGTGACAAGATCGGCCTCTGTGGAGGAGGCTCGTGAAGGACGTGACTGGGCAGTTGGAGGCAGTCGCCCTCCAACAACAACGGAGGGCGGAAGAGCGACGCTCACAACAACGAGCGGAGCGCCGGGTGGCTAAGACACAGCAAGTTGGCACAGTAGAGGGCACAGGTGGTGCATCAGCCAGTCATCTCAGTCATCTCACTCAGTCGACCCGTGGCACTTGGGTCTGCCCCGTGACCTCATGCCAGCGGGCGTTTGACACTTCACGTGGCCTCAAGGTGCACATGGCCTGGCACAAGCATCGTGGTGACGTCACCACCACTCAGTGGCGAATGGCGGTTGTTGTTGTTGTTAGTCTATGTGTGTGTGCAAGTCGATGTGTGTGTAACTCCATGTGTGTGTGTGTGAGTCGATGTGTGTGTAACTCAATGTGTGTGTGTGTGTGAGTCGATGTGTGTGTGTAACTCCATGTGTGTGTGTGTACGTAGATGTCTGTATGTTTGAGTCCATGTGTGTGTGTGTTTGGAAGTTGATGTCTGTGTGTGTATAAGTCACTGTGTGTATAAGTCAATGTGTGTGTGTCTTTTTCGCTCAGGTAACGCCGGGTACTTCCCGCTAGTATGCATATAAAACACTTTGGGTTTCTTCCTTAACATTGGTGAGATGTGAAATGTATAGTTTTTACCTTTAAGGATGCTTGCTCATTCAGGACCTTGGTAACAGAACTTGTGGGTGCCGATTTTAAGTGTTCCTTACATGACGCAGTGCTTTGTCATGCTGCTGCTGTTGGGCCACAGTGGCGGCAGCGGTGGTGATGGTTGGAAGCCGTTGCCTGTTGCTGTGATCCTGCGTGGGCTCAGGGCTGTGTCGGTTTCTGCTGCAGGGGCTACTGGGAGCAGCATGGCTGCAGGTTCACCTCCGTCATCCCCACCAATGTGTTCGGACCTCACGACAACTTCAACATAGAGGATGGACATGTGCTTCCCAGTCTGATCCACAAGGTTTATCTGGCAAAACGTGAGCAAACGTAGACTTTTTTGTTCATTGCATCTCTATACGGTTCCTGTTAACTACACAGTTTGAATTTGAGTCAAAGCTGAGCCTGAATTGCATAGTCATTCAGGACACGGGCCTCAATGTCTCTCCCCTCCCTTGTGATGTCGTACACTTGTCACACATGAGAGAGAGATGCCACTGCCAAGTGGCTGTAGACCGTGCAAATGCATCCAGTGTTCAGCCATCACCACACCGCAGGGCACAGCACTTCTCTTCCTGCACCTTCTCTCGCACTGCTCCACCTTGGAATTCCCTCCCATCGCCTTTTTTCCCAAGCTCTGATAATACCCTTAAGTCGATTCACAAAATTCCAGAACTCTGATCTATTCCAACTTTGATAGTGCCATTTCCTGCTGGTCACTTGACACTTTGGGCCTTTGCTCAGCAACTGTGTAAAATAAAAAATACTATATTCTTTGGCTCAATCGGCAAAGCCACGTAGGTAGAAAAAATAATATCACAACGTTTCGATCGCAACACAAGCAATCATATTCAGGTGAAAAAAGAGGGGTAAATCTGCCGAGGCAGGCTCTTTATAAAGGTTTAGAGATGGGCGGGGCAGTTAATGTTAATGTAGGAGAGGTCTCCCTAATCTGCAGTAGGTCTACACCAATCAAAGAGCTGTTTACAAATGGTTTAGAGATGGGCAGGGCAGCTAATGCCCATGTGGGATAGGTACTACGGAGCTGTGGGGGGTGGCCATTGTATTGTGAGAGATTTGCATGTTAATGTAAGAAATTTGCTTGTAAATGTAAGCTCGGCGAGAGCTCGGACAGTGCAGTGGCTACATGGAGGTGGAAAAGAATGGCAAGCCGCCATTTAGTAACACAGCTAACGGTGGCTGTGTTATTGAATGTAGCTCAGAGAGTCGAAAATAACTGCTAACATAGGTAGGTAGGATAGGAACATCACAGCCAGTTATGACCTAAACTGGTTAATAACGTCCTTCCAATGATTGCTCAGTTTGTACCCATCTTCTCAGTTTAAATTGTGACTGTGTTTATATATCTGGATGGCTTCATGAACAAATCTTTTTGGCAAAATAAATTTCGTGTGTGCCCACAGCGTTAAAATAATGATCAGTCATGAAAAAATACTGCTTTGCAATCACCTGGCACTCCACTTTGTTTGCCTAGACATTATTCTTACCATAGCAGGCAGTCAACTTGACTAGGCAACCAGAAATATTGGCCAATCCTGGTGAAAGCCTATTACTGCATCCCATTTATTAAATTTATCGCATCTATCGCCTTGTATTTTTTGGTCCAAAAATCCAAATAACACGATGTTAATCACCCCACTGGAAGCGTCGCCCTCGCATTTTTCCGTGAGTATCGTTGATATCCTTATTCGTCCCTAGCACACATTGCGAACGACATATCCACCTCATTACTACACTGAGAAGTTTTACAAACGTCACACGTGCCCCGACATTGGCGGAACCTGGATTCGAACCCAGAAATCTTGGCAGAACAGGCTCGTTGAGCCACCGGTCACCTCCACCACATTGAGAATTTTTCACAGTCTGGGCAGGCTTACCTCAATAATCGTTTGGGTTTGGTTCTTTAAAACCTGAAGGTAAAGCAAAAAAGCGTACTGTACAGGGTGGTCCAGTTGTCTTGTGACCCCAATTTAATTCTCTAAAACATAATATATTCAAAGCAAGGTTTATCTAAAACAGAAATGATAATTTGTAAAGGGCATAGGGACCATCCTGCACATCAAAAAAATATTATCTGACCCAAAAACTTTCTAAAATAACACTTTTCAACACAACTAAGATACTTTCAAGTGGAAATATGGAGAATAATAACTAGACAGGTGATTAAAAAGCAAATAGTTTACACAGTAATTGACTGAGCAGAAACTGGTGGAGGGGCTGTCGGAGTGTCTACCTCCCCCTGTGGGTCATCAAATGTAATACATGTATATTGAGGTACACCGGTAGTGAGAAATGTTTACTTAATTGAATGCACGTTTTGCATCTTGTGTGAATTTCAGAATTCAGCAGAAACCGTAATGCGGTGGTCATGTGTGTAACCAGCCGCATGACTCGGCGTTAGAGCGAGCGGCTCAGAACGTTGCGAGTTCAAATCCTGATTCAAATTTAACTCAGCCCATCATCTCTCAGAAGTCGATAAATAAGTACCACTTTGTGGAAAAGCCAACCGTGATTGTACATAGTTGCACCACTGACTGCGTGGCTGTAAACAGGAGATGAGCACTGGTTTTTCCATGCCCGTTTGAACGGAGCTCATTCTGCCATGTTTGTGCGTGCATGTGTGTGCTCTTCACCAAGCTCTGTGCTGTCTGTATTCGCTAGGGGATGAGACCTCTCTGCAGGTCTGGGGCACTGGTTCTCCCAGGAGACAGTTCATTTACTCACTGGTGAGTATGTGCAATTTTTGCCGTGCGTAAAACGCATCTTGATATCGAACTAGATAGGTTTACGCCATATGAATGGAAGTCACGTGTGCCGTCACTATTTTTTGTATATCCTCCTGATTGGCTCAGTCTGGGTAGCATATTGTGATGTGATTTACACGTCATGCCATAATTAGCGGCTACAACATGGTGATGTGTGGAAGGCAGGCAGGAGAGGGGGAAAGGGAGGGCGAGAATAACAACACCGAGCGGCAGCCATAAAAGGCTAAGCGCCCAAGGGAACATCCACCATTGGAGATGGAGTGATGCAATCGGCTCGTGTGCAGGTACTGGGCGAATTATTGCATCACCGGACCGTGAGCGTCTGCGGCGACTTTGGGAGGCCTTCATCCAGCAGTGGCTAGATCATCGCTGATGATGATGTACTCCTCCAATAGGATTTTCAGTGTGTGTCATGTGCTCATCGGTTTGCAGTCTAGTAATACCCCGATTTGCGCCCTCCTGCTCTGTGTACTTTCGCTACAACGTACTCAACTTATTGATACCCAATCCCACATTTCGTACTTTGGTACCTCGCCATAACGTACTCGAAATTTACCAACTTTACCACTCAGACCCAACATTTTTTACGCTGCACGGTAACATTGAGGCACCAGATGGCGCCCAAGCCTGAGCGTTCCCGACTAAAATGTGTACAAGTACAATGTTAATATTTTTTTCCCCACATACCGTATTTAACACGACTATTTGTATACAAGTGTAAACTATTCTTTTTGGATGATAAACTAATAATACATATAGTATAATAGACAAGGTAATATTTCTTAATATATCAATAATATACGCGTACTATTTCACACCGAGATGGTTGTACATTATAGATGCACAATGGGTTACAGTGCTTCCTCTGTTTAGCTTCTGTACCACGTTACGATCCACCATCCCATCTCTTTGCTTCGATTCATATTCTGGTTTTCAGGAATACATCCTGGGCTCGTACCTCTAACAGCATGAACAAAAACATAATGTAATATAGTGAAAACCGGTTTGCCGATTGTTCTTGAACAGCCCTAGTTATAAAAGAGCCGTGATGCACGTGTACCCCAGGATCTCGCGAGGCTGTTCATCTGGGTGCTGCGCGAGTACGAGGAGAGGGAGCCCATTATCCTCTCTGGTAACACTGACCCTGCGACATACATTTGCAAACCACATTTCTCCTGGATAATTCAGATAACCACGAGTTGGGTAATTATGTGTGGGGGGGCGGGGCAATTAAATTAAAATATTGCTTCAATACCGATCAAAGGAGACACGCGAGCTACTCTGTATCATAGGCAGCAGGGCAGTGGTAACACACTCGTGCCTCACAGCAAGAAGCACTTGGCTTCGATTCCTGACTCGGGCACCTTTCTAAGTGGAGTTTGGATGTTCTCCCCATTTGAGCTTCCTCTGGGTTTTCCGGTTTCCATCCATTGCTAAAACAATGTAACTGGTTCATAATAAAGGTTTTTGGGTTAGATCACGTAAGTATAAATGTGTCGCAACCCTCCACCACCCAACATGGCCAATCAGTAAGAAAAGTGTCACGTTAACAAAATGCCAATTAGTTACTTCTTCAGCCCACCGGTTTGAAGAGTGAATCCACATTTACAATTTGAGTACGACGTTTTGCTGGACATTACATCCAGCATTTTCGGGCGATTTGCCAGAATTGTGAAGCCATCCACCTGCTTCCGGTCTTAAATAGTGCAGGACGACGTCATCATTGAACCCCATCAGGTTTCGAGATCAGAGGCGGAGGTGGGGGGGGTATTGTAATTATATAATAGATTAGTAATCAGTTAATTAGTTTGTGATTTCTCTATAAGGAATTGTAATATGTATTGTGCATTACTTAATAATACGCTTCCAGGCTACACTAAGCCTGTAGCTATCAGAGCGGTTAAAATTATTTGTATTTCTCTAAATTTTGATGGGTTCTCTAATTAGTCTTGGCCAATAATAATTAGTTTTACATAACACTGCAACGTTATTAAAATAAATTGAGTGTCCTTGTTGGCAAGCATGTTCTGCCACTGCCGATAGTTGTGTTTGAGATAATTTAATGTTCCTTTGGTATTCTTTTAGTATTACGCTGTTACGTCCTGTCTGTTCAATATAGCATTTACCGCATAAGCAATTGATCCGATATACACCTTCTGTTCATAACTTAAGTAATTCATCTTTAGTACAAGACACTAGTTTTTTAATTTTGTGTACCGTACCAAATCTTACTTTAATGTTTTGCTTTTGCAAAACATTAAAGTAAGATGTGCTTTTGCAAAACATTAAAGTAAGATGTGGGCTAATTTTAATTGTTTTGATAATTATCTGATCACTTTCAGCAGTATTGTTGTTCGGTCTTGGTTTGGCATTCAATGCTCTGTTAATTTGAGCATTACTGTAGCCATTCAGTTGTAGTGCTTCTTTAACATGTTAAATCTCTCTCCTTAGACTTTCACCATCTGACACTGTTTTTGCCCGATGTATGAGCATCTTGATGAAAGAGGATTTCTGTGCTGGGTGATGATGCGAATCTGCATTCAGATAGGCATCAGTGTGCATTCCCTTTTGGTAAATGCTGTTATTTTACCATTTAGGCTGCGCCCAAGCAAAATATCTAGGAAGGGGAGTGTGTTGTTCACCTCCATTTCCATGGTGAACTGGATGGCTGGGTTTTGTGCATTGAGATGATTTAAAATTAAGTATATCTTTACCATGTGGCCAGACAAGCAAAGTATCATCGACATATCTGTACCAAAAGATGGTTTTAATGTACTAGAGGCAAGTGCTTTTGTTTCAAAGTTTTCCATGTGTAATGAGAGAGCACCACCTAGGGGGTGACAAGGGGTATCTGCATGGCCACTACTGGGTAATCGGAATCCAATCCGAAGCGGGGATTCCATCTAGGACAAAGGTAACGGGCAGAGCTAGAGAGAATGTATGGGAACCATCGAGATGGTTCCACGAGGGGGTGTGGCTGGAGCTTTGCTCCGCCAAAACGAATATAAGCAGAGGCAGGATGGGACCCGTGGTCGGTGTGGGAAGCCTCGGGTCCGAACTGCATCGCCGCTCAAACTTTCCTCGCTGACGACCACGTGGTGGACTCCCAGCGAAGCAGCCTCTCTTCCTGGCGCGCCGCAGCCAGCGGCGGGATCGGAAAGAGAGGCGTGCCACGACACTGGCCAGAGAACGGCTCGTCAACAGCAGTAGAGAGAGGGAAATTACCCAGAGTGAGATAGAGAGCGGAGCTGTGCAGAAGTTCTATTAATAAAAAGACACCAGTCAACAGTCGTCGTGGAAGTCGTTTATTACACATGTATAGATTTGCTATAGCAGGAGATAAAGGAGAGCCCATTGTTGCTCCTTCCTTTTGTTTCAAGAAATCACCTCTCCATAAGAAATGTGTTATTTAGACAATGGTCAGATAGTTTTGAAATATCTTCTGGCAAACCTGTCTTCTTTACTAGTGTATCTAGTGATTTAAGTGACTCGTTAACTGGAACCTTAGTGCAGCCTGGAAGCATATTATTAAGTAATACACAATACATATTACAATTCCTTATAGAGGAATCACATACCAATTAACTGATTACTAATCTATTATATAATTACAATACCACCTCCGCCTCTGATCTCGAAACCTGATGGGGTTTAATTATGACGTCGTCCAGCACTATTTAAGACCGGAATAATACTGGTCGCAAAAGTCTACGTGTTAAACTGAATGTAACTGGTTTTGGCCAAAATATTCCAATGATGAAAATTTACCAACAAATTACTCAATTGGGATTACATGCAGCAATATTGCCCCCTACTGTGGAAAATGTGGCAGGAACCTCCTGTTCTGAGAGGTACCGGTGAGGCACAGCGTCGTGTTCCGGCCCATTCCACCACTTCCCACAAGTGTGTGTCATGTGAGGCATCGTGCTCGTGTATGGGGATCTTATGTGTATGTGTGTGCGTGTTTAGTTGGGGAACTACGCGAACAGCACTTGCCCCAACAGTCTGTTAAGGCTTTACGGGGATTATTTTTCTTTTAGTTGGGGAAGAGGATGAGGTGTCCATCAAAGAAGCAGCTGAAGCCATTGTCAAGGCCATGGACTTCAAGGGAAACGTCATCGTATCCTCTGATGCGCTGGTTCTTGGGCCACTTCTGATCCTCCAGGCCATGGGGAATGGGCCACAGATCTGTTGCAGATATGATTATTTTTTATAAAGCACCAGATTTGTTTATTTTTTTACTGGAAAGTTAGTTTGAAATGTAAGCACAATGATATTCAATACACAGGATCTCGACATAGTTGCTACATGTAAAGTGCACATAGTTTGATTCATACCATCTGGCCAGAGAACCCTGACTAGTTGCATTCTGCCTGAGATGCAAACCTAGATTTAATCAAAGCAATCAATCACTCTCAGTACTATTTACAGTCAATGACAGTCTGTTAACGGATAAATAATGTGTACGGGCTCAGATAAATTACAAAAAAGATATGTATGATGACGGAAAAACATCACCGGCATGCAAGCCCAACAGAGGTTGCGTGAATGAAAATCAGCCAAAACTCGCCGTCATATTTTTAAAGGCTGCTGGGGTGATTCCGTAGAGTCTTAAGGCAGTTATGTGTAAACATACGACCATGCTGCTTTCGGGCTATGCAGAATCATTATCAGCCATTATCTATCTGCTGCTGGATGTATGCCTTATGTTGTCACCATCCCACACAGTCAAGTGCTGCCACCATCCATTTCACTCCTGCACGCGAACTGAAAATGACACCATCTGTTGAGCATTTGATTTCCAGAGGCCAAACCTTTACAGATTTTGCTCAGTTTGATACAAGCAAATCGGATGGGCAGTTCAAGAAAACGGCCAACAATGCAAAGCTACGAAAATACCTGCCGGACTTCAGGTTCACACCTTTCCACCAAGGTAAGCAGAGTCTTCGTTTCTATCTACAGTGGTAATCAGATATTCATCGTTATCACCATCTGCCATGGTCTATCAACTGTTGGATGAAGGCCTTCCCACGCAATAACCAGCGATATCACAATCCATTACTGGATATCTTTATAGCTCATCGGGTTCCTCCAGTGTCCATTATTTGGCTGCCATTCCATCATAAAGCTCACCCACCGGTTGTCATCCTTCCTAGTGAGACTCGTCCTGCTCAAGCCTGCTCTGCTTTCTCAAGTCAAAATAATGTCCCTGTTTGCCCTGGTCCCCTGGTTCATATGCTCCTGTTACTGTCAATGGAATTCTGAAACATCCATCTATCCCATGTATTATCATTCATACATTTTCAGCTTTTCCCCATTTTTTTCAAATCAGTATCCATGCTTCTGATTGAACATGTTTTCCTTGGGTTACATTGGCATGTAGCTTTTCATTGTTGAATTCTGCTTACATCCTGACACTCGGCCACCATGCTCAATAATGGAGAGTAGTGTTGGGATTGAGGGCTCCAGTTCTGTAATTTTCATGAAGAGATCACCCACGCAGTGACAGGTATTAGGATGTGAATTATTCAGAAGAATTCTGCAAATGTTCTTTCATGGGCGGCGATGGTCGTGATGGGGAAACAGGACATCCATAGTTGGTACCTTAGAGATTTCACACGGTGAAATTGTAAACTTCTAATTTGATTGCAGCCAAGGCATATGTATTATAATTTTGCTTGTTTAACCAGGAATGCCTTACTGAGTCTTAAGATTGTTCAGGAGTAGGGGACAATGTTGCCACGTGTAATCCCAATTGAGTTACAGCTGTTCCCTCATTATAAGGAACCAATTGTGGACCAAAAAATGTTCACTATCAAGGTGTTCACTGGAACAGGGTTAATGACAATCTGAACTGGGCCTTTAAAGAAACACATGGAAACATTAATGCATCATCACTGTGTACGTATAATTGTGTACATGCACGGGTCTCCTTGTCACATAAAAAAATTAAAAATTATACATGGTACGTGTGTACAGTATTCACTATAAAGTAGAATGTATGGTGGAGCGCAGCTTGTGATTGCCTGCGCTGTCACGTTCCAGCTGTGATGGAGACGTGCAGCTGGTTTGTGCAGAACTACGAGTCTGCACGCAAGTGAGGGCGTCTGGGCTTCGCGGGCACCACCACGGACAGACGGAAGGGGCCTTTGTCTCTTTGTGCAGGGTCAACCACTGCAGCCACACATACAGACACGGGGCATACAGGGAACATTGCAGCTACGTGATGTAGGGTGGCTAGGGTCTCTACCTCTTCCACTGTTTACCAAACCAAGACAGACTTCTCCATCAGCCTCAGTCTATCAAAACAGTGCTGTCTACCGGAATAAAATTCAGCACACAATTCCTGCCACCTGAACACAGGGTCATATCTGGACAGTTGCTAACCCCAAGTGTGGCGAGTTTACTTTGTGTGTGTGGAGCATAACACTGCTGAAGTGTGTAGGGTGGACATTAATTGTAAAACAGAATCTATAAAGAGTGCTAAAAAAATAACGTATTATCGTGCATCTTGGAAGCGGTATTTTGAATATGAATATTTAACGTGTTTTTGGGAATCGTCTGGCAATAAATTCTTGCAGGACTGTTATCGTTGCAATATTTGTGGAGCATGTAATGATCGAGTGTGATGCTGGTTTGGTGTAAGGTATAAGCTATGTCAATACAGCTGATTGCTTTGCTGTTTTAGGCGTTGGTGGCTGGGGCTGCATGGATTTTAGCAAGCCAAATTTCCAAGTTGACTTCAGGTCGGGGATGGTGTTAATATGTAGTGTTTTTATTTTTCTCCTGTGTCACTTTCCTCCTCGCGCTCAACACCCTGTAACTCTGCCGTAACTCTCCCGCTTGCGCTGCTCGCCTGCTTCGCTCCCCTCGCTTCGCTCATTCCGTTCTCTCTTTCCTATCCTCTCAACTGCTTGCCTGCTCTCGCTCTCACTCTCCTAGCCTCTCCACTGCTTGCCTGCTCCCTCTCTCTCACTCTCCTCCTAGCCTCTCCACTGCTTGCCTGTTCTCTCTCACTCTCCTAGCCTCTCTACTACCAGCCTCCCTGCAATGCTCCGCTCTCTCTGCTGCTGGCCTATTACTACACACTCTGCTAGCTTCTCCACTGCTAGCCTCTCACTATATCTTCTGCTAGCTTCTCCACTGCTAGCCTTCAGCTATATACTCTGCTAGCTTCTCCACTGCTAGCCTTCCGCTATATACTCTGCCAGCTTCTCCGCTGCTAGCCTTCCGCTATATACTCTGCCAGCTTCTCCGCTGCTAGCCTTCCGCTATGTACTCTGCTTGCCTCTCTACTGCTAGTCTTCGCGCACTCACACTTAGGATTCCGCTAGCCTTTCTACTGCTAGTCTTCGCGCAATCACACTTAGGATTCCGCTAGCCTTTCTACTGCTAGTCTTTGCGCAATCACACTTAGGATTCCACTAGCCTCTCTACTGCTAGCTTGTCTGCCCTCACTTCTCCAACCTCGCCGTTGCCTCCAGTGGGGGATCAGCCATCCTCTGTCTTCACTCCGACAAACTCATCTCTCTGCCTCACACGCTCCCGTATTTATCCTCCTCATTAACTGCTCTAATTAAGCTGGCGTCCTCCCGTCGCCTCACGCCCGTGGCTTCCGCTGCTAATCGCCTCAATCTCCCGCGTACATTTGCAGCCAGCCAATCACAGCTATGCATCTTAATTGACCGTCTCCGTCTCGTTGCTTTCTCTCGCAGCACCTGTTCGCCCTAACGTGACCTCACTGTCCATAACTCTCACATGCGTGCACACCGTTTGCAAACCCCCGCGCGCGTTACTCCACTACATCACGGTTAGTCCATCCCGGCTAACCGTATATACAACAAATAAATGCGCGAATCTGTGACACAGGTTATAACAACAATAACACAACAACAACAATAAATATGCATATATGTACAAGTGTGTGCAATGCAGTTCATCTCTCCGATTGCTCAATGAAAAACAGTTCTCCGGGAGCGGGTTCCTGCCGCCGGTCCGTCGCCACGAACTGGGTCCCGCCCAGCCGGAGGAAGAGACGGCTCAGCGCTCGACAAGGAGCCGTGTCTCTTCCCCAATGAACTGTGAGCCTCCCGTGGGTCACGGTCGCGCCAAAACGATCAACCCGGTTGCGGCTGTTCCTCCAACTTAGACTCCGGTGGCCAGCCGGTCGGCTCACCTTGCCTTAGTCGTCGTGAACCTGTGGGTGTAAGGGGACAAGACCTCTGAGGTGTGTCTGCTTGGGGCGGCGTGACAGGCTCGTCGGACGCATCTGACACAGGCCGCTTCGGGACGGGAGATGACGATCGTAAATCGGTGGCTCAAACCTCTTTAGCCGTGACGGGTGCACATATCACCGGCGTCGCCCGAATTGAATACGCACGCACTGGGGTCGACGAACATCAACGACCTCTACTGGCCCTTGACACGGGCGATGTAGTTTGGGTGACGTGCCGACCGGCACCATGGGGCAATGGAGCCATGCCTTGTCACCTTAACGCCACGGTTCACGTGGAGTTTGCTTACCCCGCAAGCGCTCGTTGGCCACCTGACGCCGTGCTGAATTACTTAAGGAGGCCTCACGAGCCTTCCTCAATCGCTCAAGGGTCACCTGCATGGGAACCGGTACGGCCGACGCCTTACCCGGCGGACGCACGCCAAATTTCACCAACGCCGGAGCCTCCAGATCCCGCCCATACATCAAATAGAAGGGTGAGTACCCCATCGAGGCGTGTGGGGCCAATCTATAGGTGGCCAGAACGCTCGGGATGTGCAAATCCCAGTCGGTTTGTGCCGCATTAACTTGTTGACACAACATGGATGTCAAGGTTTGATGTAAGCGCTCAACCATCCCGTCTGTGGGTGGTACAGGGAAGTCCCAATCTTTTTAGTGCCGAGTGAATCACACTCCTCCTTTAACAGCTTCTATGAAAAATTTTGATTTGAAGCTTTCGTGACTGCAGGAATCCATACTCTTTGGTTCTTTCGGTAAAGTCACGTAGGTAGAAAAATAAAACAAAATGGGTCCAAACTGAGCAATCATTGGAAGGACGTTATTAACCAGGTAAAGTCTTAACTGACTGTGATGTTTCCATCCTACCTGCCTATGTCAGCTGTTATTTCCGACTCTGTGTTTCTCTCTCTGTGCCTCTCTCTTAGATCTCTCACATGTCCTTTGGATTGCACTCTCATACTCACATGTCCTTTGGATTGCACTCTCATGCTCAGATGTCCTTTGGATTGCACTCTCATGCTCAGATGTCCTTTGGATTGCACTCTCATGCTCACATGCCCTTTGGATTGCATTCTCATGCTCACATGTCCTTTGGATTGCACTCTCATGGTACTAATCTCTCATTAACACTGCTGTTGTGCGCATCTGCGGGAATGATACTCTTATGCGGCGACGGAAGCTCATTCATGCTAATCTCTCTCTCCCTAGTCTCCTCCATTAACACAACTGACGTCCTTGCGTCCGTGGATGGAATTCCTTTCCAGCTCAGACCCCGCTTGCTTGCTCATCGCCACATATATGACAGCTCTCTCGCTGGTTCAGCAGTTCCACTGCTGGATTATTTTTTCCGCCTGAGGACGACCACTTGTGCGATCAAAACGTGAGTTTCGATGAAAAATGTTTACCTAGGTCAGCGAGTAACTGCTCTGGTGCACTCTTGTCCAGCACATACCCCTGCAGAAAGGCTTCGGTTATGGATGCCGCCGTTGGTCGCTCGAAAACAATGTCATCCAAATAAATAAGGCACGATTTCCATTGCAATCCCGACAAAACCAGTTCCATAAGGTGCTGAAAGGTGGCCGGTGTGGAGTGGAGTCCCATCGCAAGGACATTGAAGTGATACAACCCCTGTGGCATACGAAAAGCCTTTTTTGGTTTTGACTCCTCATCCAAAGGCAATTGCCAAAATCCCGACAAAAGATCGAGGGTCGAGAAGAAACGCGCACCGGACAAGGCGTCCAAAGAATCATCCATGCGCGGAAGCGGGAATGAATCCGCCACAGAAACCTTATTAAAAATCGCAACGAGCCATCACGCTTTTTGACTGATACAATGTGTGCCCCCCAAGGGCTGATGGAGGGGGAGACTGTCTTTGGCCAACATCTCGTCCCCCGTCTTCTGAATGCAATCTTTTTCATGCGGGCTCATCCTGTGGGAGGTCAATCGAATCGAGGGCACAGTCCCTGTGTCAATATGATGCTGTAATAGGATTGTCCAGCCTATATCGTATTTGGCGTTACTGAAAACTTCCTTTCACTCATGCAAAAGCCGGCGAAGTCGCGCCCGCTGATCGGATGTCAATTCCCGATTTCCTCACAACCGCCGCAGCAACTCGGGCTCAGCGGCTAACCATAGCCTGCACAACAGCATTGATCGTGGTATACTTCGTAGATGTTTTCAAGAAATTTAGACGCTGTCCCGATGGCATCTCAATACAGCCCTTATCCAGCTGAATGTTAAGGGGCATCCTGCGCAAGAAATCCACGCCCAATAAGCACGGTACGGCCAAAGTCGTGGAAACCAACACAAGGCCATGCATGCATACATCCCCTATTTGTATCGTAGCAATCATGTGACCCACAATTCTGAGACTACCACCATTAATTTTGCCGCAATACATGGCCCGTCCACCTGCTCCAGTGGCTGGGGTGAGGCCAGCAACGATTAAAAAGTCAGCAGCAAAATGAGGGTAGCCGAAGCACCCGTGTCGATTACCACTCGGACCTCTACTCCCTGAATAAGCGCCATAACGTCCGATAAACCTGGCGTGGCACCGAACGCCCGATACGCCAAAGCATACCATTTACTATCATACAACCCGTCGGGATGAGCGGTTACAGGGCAACACAGCACGGATGCACTCATCCGTGCTGTGTTGCCCTGAATGAAACAGCCATGTGCATGATGCGTAGCGACTCGCCTGTGGTCCTCAGAATGAGGAGAAGTTGACGTCATAGGTCGCAGGAGCTCCCGGCGGACCGCCAACGCGCAGCCGGCAGTTCCTGGCGATGTGGCCCATCCGCCCGCAGTTGTAGCATCCGTGCGAGGCATATCCCCTCGGCGGTCCGCGACGTGGTGGCCACCCTCCCGGTGACCGACCACCTTGCATCTTCACACGTCGTGGACCTGAATTCAGGGCTGCGTATGTGGTGCCACCGCAGCGGAGCAGCTCAGCCGGCGCTACCCTCTCCTCGTACCCCCCCCCCCCCCCCACTAAACACTCGCATGCACCCCCGTAGGGTCTCGAGGAGGGATCACCTGGTACGATGGGTTTTCACCCGAGGACCCCGCTAGCAGGGACGTTCCACGGTTTCCCCGGATCAGGAAATTGGCCGAGCCCCCCAGACCGAAAAGGGGGCGTAGAGCTTTACAGGCCGGCCGCGATGAAGCATACCCAACACGGGGGGATGGGACCTTCAGCCAGTACCCAGCGGCAGAGTAAACAGTGGGGTGGGAGGGAAAAGCCCCTAGGCAGATAAGAGTTGACTTAAGTTGGAGGGAGCGAGGGGATTATCGATGAATCAACGGCGAGGACCGCAGGCACAGAGACAATGGGAAGGGGGGGGGACGCGACCCCCCCCCTTCCCCCCCCAACGGCCAGAGCACTCAAAACGGCCGCAGAGGATTCGATTGGATGCGCAGGATGACGTCATATGACCCGGGGGTTAAGGGGCTTTGGGGACATAAGGGGGCCGGAGGGCGCGGATTAGATCAGAGTTCTTCTGGAGTGGGAGAGAACGCCAGCCGCCCTCAGTGTCCGTGGGACGCCTGCAGGGTGCAGCTGAAAACGATTGCCCGGGCAAAGTCTCCGAGGCGGGCATCTTCCCCAACCCCCATCGTGCAGCTGGAAAGGTGGGTCAGTATGGGGGGAAGGGGCCGATTCAGTCCAGCTCGCAGTCAGCTCGAGCTTGGAGGATAGATGCACTCTGCGACGGCTAGGTGATAGGAGATTAGGCACGGTCCAAAGGGTGCTGGCTGGAGGGGGCCATAAACAGGGGGTCACTATTCGCTCTGGGAAATAAATCTTAGCACAGACTGATGTTTGACGCGTGGTGCATGTGTGTGTATGAAGAGCGGTGGGACAGCGATCGGCGTACGACGGTGTGTGGGTGACTTTAATCAGTATATGCACGACGTGCGGGCACATACAAATAAATAATTAAATAGAGTGACGCGAGCGTAGCGCGCAGATTAATTAATTGATTCCGAGCGCCGTTGGCTTGTTGACACAACGGCTTAGTAGAAATAATTAATTAACTTTGAACAGCCGCGAGCTGCGAGTCACACCATTACGTTATCACGCGGTTAGGACGCGCCAGGAGGGGGGAGGAGGTGATTGATTCCTCCCCCCCCCCAATGGCGGGTGGGGGGGGAGGGCATTGGCCCCCACCTAATAGGGAGTGGGGAGGGGGGCATTAGCCCCCACACGTATCCCCGTGTTGCCGTCGCCGGCCATCGAGTCCCCTTTCACCGTCGTGCACGATATCGCAGCTGGCTCTTCCCTGAGGCCCAGATGCGCTTGAATGTTCTTCACAATTTGGAGGGACGAGAGGTCGTCGGCGGCTGCGACGGAGAGGATGACCCCCAACTCTTTTGCCACCGCCAATAGCCGTTCCAAGGCGAGCGAGTCGAGAACTGCCCGAACCATGGAAGGTTAGGCCGCCCGCCCGAGGGCTAACAGAGCGTTGCGGAATGCCAGGGGTGACTCCGTGCCTCCCCGCTTTCTGAGCTGGAACTTCCTTTCGGATGGTCGACGGTGGTTCTTAAATTGCCGCCATTGCAGCACAGGCACTGGCGAGTGTCAATCGATCGGCCTCGGGGATGGAGTAGAAGGCAGCCAACGAGTCATCATGGAGGGACCTCGGCAGGGCCCGCAATGCCTCGTGCTCCAACCAGTTGATGGAGC